AGAGAGAGAGAGAGAGAGAGAGAGAGGGACAGAGAGAGAGAGGGGGAGAGAGAGAGGGGGAGAGGAGGAGGAAAGAGAGAAAGAAACAGAAAGAGGAAGAAAGGCAAAACATTTGTATATTTACCAGAAAGACAGAAAATTATTATGGGTCTAATGATATAAGAAATACATGTCTCAAACGAGCAACGATTTTAGTTGAGAGAATTAGGAGAAGGTAATTGTGTAACGAAGAACAAGAACAAGAACAAGATACAAGCGCCTTGTGTACACACGAGAAGCCAAGGAAAAAGAACCACTGGGTGTGGTTCTTGACCCTCCTTCAGCAAGCAAAATGGTATACTCAAACTCGCTTTCTTTTACAGCAGTGAGGTGCAAAAAAATGGCACAAAAGTGACAATGCTCTATTTGCATATATAGAACACACAATCTTGTATCCCGTTCTACGCCTTTGCTGAAGACTTTAACTCTTGAAGGGGAGAGATGAAAGGACGCGCATTCTGGTAATTTGAACGTTTTTGAAGACGCGTAATTTGGGACTCTTTAAAAAAGAAGAATAACTTCCATATTCGTACAGATTTTATAATTCTGTTTCCTTTATCTGAAATTCAATAAGGCAGGCAATATCATGCATGCATATACAATAAGCAAATTCGTGATTCTGATTGGTGTATGATGGATCGAAATGTACCACAACACAGCCTTTGTTATACTGCCGGTCGGACACTATTATATGTCCGCTATGTTTTTAACCCTCTGAGGACACATTTTGCACGTTTGAAGACGTGTTGTTTTGGGATAGGCCTACTTTAAAAAGACGAAGTATAATCTCTTATTCATAATAATATAATATCGATCTATATAAATTCTGCTTCATTTATCTGAAACTTAAAGAGGCAGGAAAAATATGCTTGGTATAAAATAATATGCATAGTTGTGTTTCTGAATTGTGTATAATCGTTCAAAACGAGCAGTACTATTGGCCTTGGTCGGCTTCTGATCGGACGTATAATAAGTGTCCGTTACTTGGACAAAGAGTTAAGAAGCTGAGAAAACATGGAGATTGTTCTACAAAGTCAATATTGTCACTTGTGCTTCCAGCTACGCCACTCTCAAACATAGAGCTGTCAGCTCTGACGCTCTCAGTGAAATGTTTTTCCTTTTCTATTTCTCAAAGATCAACAGACGGGTGCTTCTTTCGTATCAAATATCTGTTGTCATCATCTAACCCTCCTTCTTTCTTGTTACTCTCTTGTGACACCATAATCCTGGACATTTATATGACCTGACTGCGTTACAAGTGCCGAAAAAAAGGCTTACTAAAACTAAACGAAAAGACCAATAAATATTTCTAATAGTCACGTAGTCTTCAACACACTCTGCAATTTGATGCTGTCTTTGACTGTCAGAGAACCCCCTCCGCCCCACCTTTCCCCTAAACTGCCAACGCTATCGCCACCCACAGACAAGCAAGAGCCTTTTATGTCCGGGGCATGTGACAGCAGAAAGGATTTACGACAAAGTGGGAGAGATGATAGGCTCTTGATACGTCTGGGTGTCTCAAAGCGGGTGAGAAATGTAAATATCTCAGGGCGTTTAATGATTGTTTGACTTACGGAGGTGGTAGTTACGAGGGGAGTGTGTGTGTGTGTGTGTGTGTGTGTGTGTGTGTGTGTGTGTGTGTGTCTCTGTGT